CCGTCTCTAGTTCTGAATGGGCTCATTCTGGTAACCTTTGCTAAGACAAAGAAGTGTCACTTACCTTCCAATTTACTTTCTGTTCATATGTCCATCATTGGCCTCATCTCAATATTATCCTACAGCACTCTATCTCTGCCAGCATTTACTCTCTCTATCATCAACTGTGATTGTGATTCGACTTACTATAAATGGATACTAGCTCATATATTCCATTTCGCACTCTATCCTTTTAATATCACAGCAATATCTGCCAGTTACTGCCTAATATTCAAGTACTCCTCATCCATTCTTACGTTCTGTCGTCTGGCAGCAGTTCTTATAAGCATATGGATCATCCCTATTATACAGTAATTTTGATGTACTGAGAGTTGATCAAACACCAAAAAACAATATAAGACATTATAAACAGTATTTCAATTAAAGTAAAGTACATTTACATTGTCTTCTAATGAGACAAATGTATAATAAAAAATAATGTAGCTACGTAGAATACTACAATTTCATTGGTCGATTGCCATAGGCATAATAAAACAATACTTGATTGACATAAGAATGTATACATGCATTATTATTATATCACAAAAAGGAAATGGAAGCTGGTCTACAAATTATTGGCATGAACTACAATTGAAAGTTGGTCAGTGTCTTAATTTACTATTCCATTTCATTGTCTTCTCCTGGCCTGTCAGTCAATCAGTGGGTTAATCTACTACTGGCTCACAGTAAACATTATTATTGTGTGTATTGTACTACAGGGCATGTGTGTGTGGCCAAATCAAAAATGGTTAGGAGGTGATTTGCCATTTCAATTAATTTTTCTAATATGCGTAGAAAAGGTTTGAGCTTATTCTAATTAAAATTAGATTTTTACAAATTTTTAAAGTTGATCAAATACTGAGGGAAAGTCCCCATAATATAGTACGGGGATTTGATCAAATTTCACCAAAATTGAAAAGGAGAGAATTCTTCTATTTTATTACATTTTCTGATAGATATACATGTACTTATGTTGTGTAGAAAGTTTGCAGGGCCGTAGCCAGTAACTTAAAATAGGGGGTTCGGAAATTGGTGCACGCGAATCGCGCAGCGAAAATTTTGACAAATAATGGGCGTGGTTGGTAGGCGTGGTCTTGATTTACGCATCTCAGCCATGTGCTGACTCAGCTAAAATGGCTATCTGTGCTTCTCGCTGTTGCCAAAATGCTAATCCTGCTTTTGCAGTGCTGTTCTTCATGACAGGAGCTAATCTAAAACTTTTTTGCAGCTACAACAGGGGGTTCGTCCGAACCCCCCGAACCCCCCCTGGCTACGGGCCTGGTTTGAGCTGATTCCTATCAAAATTAGATTTTATATGAATTTTAAAAGTTTGTCTAAAAATGGCGAAGTACAGCTGTGCTACAGTACAGGGTATCGCAAGTTTTGACGACTACTGAAATTTCCTACCAGTCTACAAGATAAGTTCCTTTACTAAATATACCAAACTTGATTAAATGATAATACATTGTCTTAGCATTGGCATAAACAACATAATGAAAATTGGTAAGTGACTCCAGTTACTTAGTATTGGCATAAATAACATAATGAAAGCTGGTAAGTGACTCCAGTTACTATCATATTTCATTGTCTTCTCTTGGCTTACCATTCAATCAGTGAATCTATTGTTGAGTTTATTTGGCAAACAAAAACAAAAGAACATTTTCAATAACAATCAATACACATGTACATGTACATAATCACAGGTCACAGAAGTGGTAATTAAATGAGTGGGTGGTGTTTGGTATTTGGGTGTGGCTCTACACTACCTTGTTAATGTGACTGAGGAGTCCGTTGTGTGCGATTGGGTGAAAGTTCTCTACTCTGCTCCCATGATAGGCTAAGAAGGTACCGTACTCTGAGGCTGTTCTCTGCCATTTCTCCTCTCTCTGAGGAGTATTGCAACTCAAAGAAACAATGGCTGAACTATATGGGCAGATACTGAGGTCTGAGACTCAAATCACTCAATCAATGAAAACTAGAAAGAAGAGGAAGTATTCGATTACTTATTTAATGTCTGCTTTAACAAATACATGTACAACAAAGCAGTACAGGGACCACATTCGCTTGAGCAGCTTAAAAAGTCCCTTCTCTCTCTCTGTTTCTCACCTCATGTCCAGGTTTATAAGAGAGTCTAAATCCTTTGGTACAAATAATGTCATAGAGTAATGTAATCACTCTGTTATCCAGTGAGTTCAGCTGTTGCAGTACTTCATTAAGATAGGGTATATAAGGTTTTAAAAACACTTCTTTGGAAAGAAGAGGATAAATACACATACAGTAGATTAAAATGGTTCATTTAAAAAATGAAATATATTAATGAATTTCTTCAAAAACTAAATATCTATCTGTTACACAATACATGTACATGTTCACAGCCAAAAAAATTAAAAATTAATTGACATCATGACATGCGTGGAGCAAGTAGTAATTATATAATGGGTGGAGTAATGACTAACGAGAATCAATGAATAAGTAATTTTATCATCATCATTATTATTAATATACTCACCAGTCGTTCCATGTCCTTGTCTCCATTACTCAGTATGAACTGGTTAGGGTATGGTCTTCAGTACAGTGTCATGATGATAGGAGGATCAGACCAGAACAAGGAGAGGAGACAGTCACAGCCTGACATGTCTTTACTCAGTGCCTCACGTAAACACACTTGTACCCTGACATTAGTTAGAAGAGTGTATCTAACTAACTGTATCTAACTAACTGTATCATCATCAGTACAACAGTACATGTAACCAGAGACGGGTCTAGGCTATTTTATAATAATTCTGTTTTCTTTCCTTTTAATCTGAGCCTGAGGATTCTTGGCAACTCAAGATATTAATCTTCGACTAATCTACTAAATTAAAAACATGTGAAACATGCACCATTCAATGCCACATATTGCATGTTTACTGGTACACGTCCCAGTTCGTAAACTTTCTGGGTCAATAATAGGTACCCACTCATTTCAAAAAGACTTTTATCCTGTACATCTGGTCCTTCAATTTTGATGATATCTGAGCTATTACAGCATCATTGTATTCTCCTCTCTCAGCTTTGCGACCATCAACTACATGAAAGAGCTTACGGGCCTCTGGATCTTGATAAATTAATTTGCAAGAGTTTTCTATTGGTTTAAATATGTCCATAAGCATTTCCTCTTTCGTTTCAATCTCATTTCCCTCTTTCAGTAGCTCCTCGTATTTATCACAATGTGTAGCTATAGCAATGACGTTCATTTCTTTAGGTGGGGCTTCAACATATTGCAAGAGATCATGATTATCCAATGCATGTCGGTTTGAAGCAGAGACTATTGCCAGTAAAAGCTGCTTCAAGACTTCCTTTATACCTTTAAAAAGTGTTTGTCTACACTGATGACTTCATTTGTAAGCTGCATTGACGTGGAGCTGAAATCAGAGAGACTCTTTGACACGTTGATAACAAGAATAAGGACAGACACAAAAGGCATAAAGGCTGGAAGTAATTT